TCGTTGGTGTTCAATGCATCAAATCTATTCTTTAGATGATCTCTAAATTCAGGAGGGATATATTCAAGATCATATTTTTGGCTCTCTTGGACTTGATTTAATTGTCTTTAACTTCAAGTTGAACTTGCATATGAGCTCCTGGCCTGGTTTTGGCTGAAGATATTGAGCTTTTCCACTGCCTCTTGCCACAGATCAATCATGGAAACATTAGTGGAGCTAATCACGATAATAATGACTATGGTAAAGTTTCCAGTCTACCACATAGCAATATGGAAAAGCCCAAGGAAGTAGGTAACAACACTACCCCAATTTCACAGATGAGAAAATCAAAGTTCAACTGCTTGCCCAGATCACATAGTCAATAAAAGATGGATTGATCTAGGATTCAAATCCAGGCAAACTAGAGGCTACCTACCTCTCTGCTACAGACTGCATGCATACTTCTCTGACTATAATGTCTGGTGAACTTTGGAAGACAGCTAAAGGCAGTGATAGAGGAAGGAAGAGGGCAGCTCCAGCCCAGCCCTGGCCTCCCCTCAGCATACCTCAAGAAGCCACTATCAGGATAAAGGGCTCAAAAACTACCTTGAAGGAGGGAAGAGAACCACAGTGAGTCACTCTCATGTTATGGGTATGGATAAGAGTTGACGTAACACACACATCCCACATTCTGAATTGAAATTCCCAGTACACATGGAGGCCTATTTATCCTCAATGACAAATAACCAGATCTCAGGGATTAAGGCAAAGTGGCAGGAACGAAGGTCGACATGTAGGCCTTGGAAATAGAAGTGGGTTCAAATCTTAGTTCTGCCGATCACAAGCTGTGTGACCCTGGGCAAACTGCTCCATTTCTTTTAATGTTTATTCACTTAAAAAATAAGATGGTATGGTACCTCCCTCAGAGAAGATGTTATATTGAGTACAGATTCTCTGCTCTACCCCTCTATCTTCAATGTGGTCTCTTCTATAAATGTGCACCCAGCTACTGGATGAATCAACCTAGGCTTGGCTGTAGGGGATACCCAAGTGAGTCTATGTTACCTGACAAAGTATCAGGTCCCAACATATGCAAGATGGTCTATGCCCACCAGGACTGGGAAATAGACGTTGAGTGCTGAACTGTGAGGACAGATTTTTTTTCCGCCCATGTATTAAGCATCTACTAAAGGAGCTCTGGTGGCACAATACCTAAGGCATTTGACTGCTAACCAGAAGGTTGGCAGTTCAAACCAAGCAGCTGCTCTGAAGAAGGAAGATGGGACAATCTACTTCGTAAAGATTTTTTTTTTTTTACTTCCTTAAAGATTTATTGCCTCAGAAATCCAATGGGGGGTAGCTATGCGTTGGAATCGACTTGAGGGCAATTAGTTTGGTATTTATGTGCTAGATACTGTGCTGAGCACAGCTTCATTTAAACTTCACAGCAAATTTTAAGAGTGAAACCATTACTGATCCTATCTTAGAGAAGAGGAAACATAAACCAAACAGCTTTAAGGCCACACAGCTACTAAATGGAAGAATCTGGATTTGCTCCCAGATCTGCCTGACTCTAGTGCATGCCCTCTTCTGCACCCTCCCATGATGAAGCCCTCCAAGCTGGCTGCAAGATCTGGGGGCGAGTCCCTACCCCTGCTGGGAAAGAGTTTCATCTGTAACATATGGGGGGAGAAGGAATAGACAGGAGTCCACCTACCACGAGTAGGCTGGCCTCCAGACTGCACCCTCTCCCAGCTGATCTTGGGCCTCCAATTCTGAAAACCCATGGACCACTTCGGAGGCCTTTCTAGGTATGATTCTAGCCCCATCACACACACACTTCCCCCAAGACAACTCTAACCTGAGGAAAAGCATGCTAGAGCTGTATGGGTGACAAATTCTGGACTCTCAGGTGGCAGAGGAACAGAGAAAGTGTATGGAAAGAGAGTGTAATAGGCCAGGGGAGGGTGCGTCTGGGGCTGGCAGAGGGCCCAGGCTGGCTACAGAGAAGCTTTCACAAAGAGGAGTGGTGAGTCACCAGCTTCTCCCACACCCAGCACCCCTCACAGGAGGTGCTGCTCCTCGGTTTGTTGAATGAATATTGGTCTTAAATGGAAAAGCTCCTGATAAAGGTTGGCTGCAAAGAAAAGAGGGCAGCCTTTGGAAGGGAACCACCTTAAGCCAGGGCATCTCTAATCGAGGAGAAGCCTAGCAGTTGGGAAACGCTCCTTCTCAACGGTACTCCCAACTCTTGCGTCCCAACTCAACCCGAGACCCTCTGCAGCATCAGGGTCTCGATTTGCATACATCCCTGGAACTCACTTTCCGTCCAGCCAGCCCTGTCCGTTGCTGGACAGCTAGCTCCACCCTCCCCACAAACAGACCCTCTCTCTTTACTCCCATCCATCTCTCACATTCCTCAAGTTTGAGAACCCCAATTTGCTCACATTGTGTCGCCGTAAGTCAGAATCAACTCGGCGCTAACAAACCAGGGCGCATGTGTAAACTGTGAATGAAAGGAGGGGTCCCGGGGGAAGGGGTGCGTGCACAAGAAGATCCCACGGTCGGTAGCGACAGTACCCGGGTTTCCGGTCCTACAAATGCGCGACCCGAGGAAGAGCCGGAATATCGAATATAGACAAATGAAGGCTGGAGAGGCTAAAGGCACATAAACAGATGAATTAGCTACCGAAAGACATAGACACACGTGAAAAGGAAGATGGAAAGCCGACAGATAAAATGGATCGGATGCCCCTGGGTTATGGGGAAGTCTGGGCGTTGGCCGGCTGAGTAGGAGACACTCACATTCGCGGCCATGATGGCACCCGGCTCGTTGCAGCAGCCTCGCTCTGCTCAGCTAGGAAAGAAGTTGACGACGCGAGTTCAGTGGCCTCTTGCCGGCCCGAAATTTCTAATAGCGTAGGGCCAGGACAAGGCGGGACTCGCTGAAGAGTTACCGCCCCAAGGACCCCATTCTTCTGAACATGCGCGCCGCAAAGACTCCTGGAAAATGCAGTCCATAGTCAAACAGTCGCAGTCCGGAGTCCCATGCTATCGCCACAAAGTTGCAACACACGCGGGAACTCATTGATGCGCCTGCGCACTGAAGTCCTTTCTGCAGATGTGCGGCCTGTTGGGAATTGTAGTTCTGAATTGAGCGGGGCGGCCGGGGCTGGGAGGACGCGGAGGCAGGCGCGCGGCGGGCAGGCCTGGAGGGGGCGGGACCGCGCGGGCCTCTGACTCGCCCGTCCTGCCTGAGGAGAGGTCAAGGCGTGGACCCGCTGCCGCCGCTCCGGCTGCGAAGTTTGAGTGCCGGCTGGCGCCATGGCCTACTGCCGGCAAGAAGGTAGGAACGACGAGCAGGCTGCCGTGGAGACCGGCCTACAAGGGCTTGCAGGGGACACGCGACCTGGGACAGCCTTTGCAGGCCCCGGCGCCCTGCGACCCCCTGGCCGGTCGCGGCAAGAGGAGGCGCAGACTTGGACGTCCGGGGACCGTCTGCCCTGCGGAGTCACTCTGGTTTACAGATGAGAAAACTGTGGTTCTGGGAGGAACGGGCTTGTCCAAGGTCACTGAGAGGCTCGAACCCTGGCCTCAGATCAACGAGCACGTGGGAGATTCATGAACTAGGCCCGGAGGGTGTACGAGAAATGCTGTGCATGTTTACTGGCATGTATTTCGGGATTATTTGGTGTTAATTATTACTATTGTTTGCAGTACACACCACGTGTTACCATACTGGATGCATCTTGTAACTATTCCGAAAAGTTGCCACTCGGGTAGGTTATGTGCGGGAATGGTGAAAGTACTTCCAATGGGAAGAGTTGTTAGCCCCTACTATTTATGAGAGCATTTTCAAGAAGCATTGACATGGTTTATTTCATTGGTCTCTCGGTGATCTTTGTAAGTCAACATCTGTTATCCCCATTTTACCGAAGTGTAAAGTAAGACACAGAGGAGGTAACTTGCCTTAAGTTAACATGGCCAGTATGTGGTGGAACTGGGATATGAGCCTGGGTAATCTGAATTGTACCATCCAATCTGGAACCTGGATTCTTTAAGGTCATCTACACGGAAGGCTTCCTGCCTTGCAACACCCACACCCTTCTACTTCCGTGTGTTAATCTCTAACTCAAGAGCTCAGAAGGTTGGAGCATACCCAGTGGTTAGTCTGAGGGTCTCTCCATATACTACCATTAACTGAGCTGCCACCTGCTACTTCCAGGTCCTGCTTTCCAACTGTGTAAAATGAAAAGTTGGCATTCATTCATTCAGCAAATAATCATGAAACAACTCTGGAAGTGATGGGAATGGTGGACAGACACTTAAGAATATAAACTTAAGAATTGAAACTCACCTAGAGATTCTTTGATGAATAGTCTTACCCCTCATAACTAAGGGAACCTGAAGCCCAAAAGGGCTCACCTACCTAAGAACGTACAGCCCCTTAGGGGCAGAGCTCCTTCCAGAATGCTATCATTCTTTTCCCCAGTATCTTAGTCTTCTAGAACTTCTCCTTCCCTGGGACATAAAGCCACCATACTCACTGATATCTCTAAAAAAAAAAAAACTGTTGCCATGGAGTTAATTCCGACTCAGCAACCATATAGGACAGAGTAGAAATGTCCCAGAGGGTTTCCAAAGCTGTTAACAGATGGAAGCAGATGCCACATCTTTCTCCTGTTGGTGGGTTTGAATCACCAGCCTTTCAGTTAGTAGCTGAGCACTTATTCACTGTGTCACCAGGGCTCCTTCTAATGTCTCTAATGAGTGCTATTTCCATTAATACTTAGTTAAGTCTGTCATAAACAAAAGTCCTCTGCCCACACCAATTTATGTTAGACAGTAAATTTCTTGTTTTTAATTCCCTTTATCTGAGTCTCTAGTTTACTTCATTTAGCAAATAATTTTTGTTCAGTAAGTTTTGAGCAAATAATTTCTGCAGATAAATAACACCTCTTCTGTTTTTAAGGAATTTATAGGGGTCACAGTTTCTCAGGGAAGGAAGGGCAGTGGCAGCAGTGTCCATCTGCCACCAAAGCATGGAGCCCTGGCTTTTCTTGGTTCAAAGATCTTGTCCTTAGTTTGGGGATGAGAATTAAAAGCATTCCCTTCCAGGCCTTTTTCAGTTGTTATCTGCACCTCTGTCCCCTAAAAATCCTCTAACTTTTTGTTTTCCTACCCACTGATGCTTTTAAGGAGTTTTGGTGGTACAGAAAGAGCTGTGATGGCACAGTGCCTAAGGCATTTGACTGCTAACCAAAAGACTGGTGGTTCAAACCCACCAGGTGCTCTGCAGAAGGAAGATGGGGCAATCTACTTCCATAAAGATTTACCGCCTTGGAAACCCAGTGGGGGTTGCTATGAGTTGGAATTGACTCGATAGCAGTGAGTTGGGGTTTTTTTGATCCTTTATGCTTCCCATCCACCAAAACCAAACTCACTGCCATTAAGTTTATTCCGACTCATAGTGACCCTTCCTTGGGTTTCCAAGGTGGTATCTCTACAGAAGTAGATTGCCCCTTCCCTCAGAGGAGTGGCTGGTGGGTTTGAATCACCAGCCATCTGGTTAGCAATCATATGCCTTAGGCACTAAGGCACAGGAGCTACTAGAGCTCCTGTGCTTCCCATGGGACTTAGAAAAATGATCCCCAGCTCTTTTACTCTGTAAGAGCTTATGTGATCTAACCCTTTCCTATCTATCAGCCTCCTCCTCCATCACCACCTCACTACATCAGCCAAACTGGTCTCCTTGCTATTCCCTCTGCCTGGTGCATCCTTCCTCCAGCTCTTCCCATTCTTTAAGATTCAGCTGAAATATTACCTCCTCAGAGAGGCCTTCTCTGATCCTTTGTGTCTTATACCCTAAAACCAAAACCAAACACATCCCACTGTTCTCAAGTCGATTCCGATTCATAGCAACTCTATAGGACAGAGTAGAACTGCTCCATGTAGTTTCCAAGGCTATAATCTTTTTTTATTATTTTATTTTTATTTGAGTGAAAGCAAATTCATCTTCTATATAGCAGTTCATATATACTTTGTCTCAACATTGACTGTAATCTCCCACAGTGCAACAGCTCTCCTCCCACTTCCTTCTCATGCATTGCTGCCCCCTACCCACAGCTGTCTCCCTGTGTATACACAGCCCTTTCATTCTCCCATGGTTGATCTCTCCAAGGAGTGTATCTACCTAATGTAAATGTTCAGCTCATATAACTAAGGCTATATTCTTTAAGGAAGCAGACTGCCACATCTTTGTCCTACAGAGCAGCTGGTGGATTCAAACCACTGACCTTTTGGTTAGCAGCTGAACACTTGAACTGGTATACAACCAAGACTCCTTTTACATCCTAAGTGCTTTGAAATTATTTTGTTCATTTTTTCCTCATTTTTCTTATTCTCTGTCTATCCCACTAAGCTGAGAGCATTAGATGGACGTTATCCCCAGCATCCAGTCCAGGGCCGGCTGTAAAATAGGTATGCAAATCTTTTATTGAATGAACCCACGCACGTGTCTGCCATCTGTTCTGAGTGGATCACTTGCCTGTGCTAATATACTCCAGGAATCCACCCATACCACAGCATTCAGGTTAAAGGCCTTAGCTTGGTATTTAAGATGTTTAGCAGTGTGGATTCTGCCTTGCTCTTTGGCCTTTGACAGCCCACATTTACCTGTATCATCTCCACACTGCTCCTTTTTTTGGTTTCCTCTCTTAGGCTGAGCCTACCTGCTCCTGTTCAGTCAACAAATATTTATTGTGCATTGTTAGTGCCAGCTTGTTGTTGTTTTTATGTACCATTAAGTCAGACCCGACTCATAGCGACCCCTCCTTGGGTTTCTGAGGCAGTATCACTGCAGAAGCAGATTGCCCAATCTTCCTTCCGAGGAGTGGCTGGTGGGTTTGAACCGCCAGCCTTCTCATTGGCAGTCAAGTGCCTTAGGCACTATGCTACCAGAGCTCCCTTATGTGCCAGCTATTGGTCATATATTAGTGACAAAGGTGACACAATCTGCCCTCTGCCATCTGGTGGAAAAGATGGCATTAAAGTACCAACAGATGAATGTGTAATTCCAAATTGATAAGTAACATGAAGGAAAAGCCTAGTGTGCTATGATAGTGTAATGAAAGGTCCTGTGAGGTCAGTGGAGGCTTCCTGGGCTTCAGAGCTCATTTCAAATACCATTTCTGAAGAAAACCTTTTCCGCCCCTTCTAATCATGTGTGAGTGAACACCATCACCTTAGAACCACCTTTTGCCTTTCAGCTTTTGCCTGTGTGATTCCTTCTAGAAAGTCTCATCCCCTCTTCCCCTACCTGAAACTCTTTGTCGGGGAGGGAACTTGCCCTGGATGAGGTCCCTCCCTAAGGCCTCTTTCTAGAATGGAAATGATTTTCCCAGCTATTAGACGCTTGTGTCTTACTCAGCTGTGACTCCCAAGTCCAGCACAGAGTAAGAGGTAATGAAGGCTTCTATTCTTATAGTGTAGTAGAGCTGTTTATACTTTTACAGACACATGCCTTCTTCCTCGCAATTCTCTTCAATTTTAGCGTTCTAAACGGCTACAAAATGAGCTCTGGTGCCATAGTGCTTAAGGCATTTGACTGCTAACCAGAAGGTTGGTGGTTCAAACCTACCAGTTACTCTGCACAAGGAAGATGGGGCAATCTACTGCCATAAAAATTTACCACCTTGGAAAACCAGTAGGGGTCACTGTGAGTCAGAATTGACTCAATGGCGGTGAGTTTAGTATTTTTTTTTTTAAAGGGCTACAAGGTTATCATCTCTGTTCTCCAAATTTTAGCCAGGTACCTGATGCAGACTAAGAGCTCAGAAAATATTTGTTGAATTGAATTTCAGTGTACTTGATCCACCTGAATATAGTGGAGTTGAGTCTTTTAAGGTAGTTAGATTCTAAACATGAAAGTCTGGACAGCCCAATTTATCATTCTTAAAATGCCTTTATTTCACTCAAAATATACCACAGGCACAACTCAAGACTAGCCAGGCCAGTTTTCCCCTGGGCCTTAGATCTTAATTTCTTAGGTTGAACATCAGCTAAAGTAGTAGGAGTTGCATTGGAAGTGCATTCAATCAACTCAGCTCAAAAGGCACAGAAAATAATAAGGCAGGTGACTGTTCTTCTCTTCCAGCATTGACCCTGGGGAGGGAGCATTCTTGGGGGAGACAAGAAACTGCTTCCTTTGCAGCCCAAGGTACTTCTTCTGGAATGGTGACACTGAGAGATTCTGGTGTTTAAAGATCCCATATGTGGTCATGTTTATCTTCCTGGGGATTTGAAACCTCCATCCCAAGGGTCTTTTTCTCTAACCCACTTAATGGTGATATTTCTGTTTTTTTTTTTTCCCCTTTGTGGAGCTTGGTCTACATGTTTTAATCTATAGTTCAGTTTTTCTGATCACTTTTTCAGCAAATACTGAGCACCCAGTATGTCCTATCCGAGCCCTGTCAGTTTGCTACCATGTAAGGCTAT